TGTGTGTGTGTGTGTGTGTGTGTGTGTGTGTGTGTGTGTGTGTGTGTGTGTGTGTGCATTATAGATTTTCACCACAACAGCGCCTGTTCAACCCAGATGAGTGGTGTTTGTGTGTGTGTCACAAACTCTAATTTATTTCTGGATGAGAACCTGTTTTCAGGAGGGTCGACATGACTCCTCACGAAAAGTAGAATGGGTGCAAACTGAACCAAATTAAGTATACATGATAAAAGAGCAGCATCTGTGGGCCGATGGAGGCTTCCTTCTGCATGCATGTAGGGACACGAGCATGAAAGATGGAAGTCGAGTAAATGCATAATCATAAATTCCGATTCTGAAATCGAGTGAATTCCAACACTTCAACTTCATAGTGAAGTTTTTTTCTGCATGAAGATTATGGCCCCCCATCTTATTTCGCCGCCTGACAAAAAGAGTAGACTTGAGCGAGCAAGGAAAGTGGAGTAGCAGAACTTCAGAACGGATGAAAAATTCATCAGGTGTAGCAGGACGATGATGATGATGATGAGGAGGAGGAGGAGAAGGATGCGGAAAGTGAGAATGGTCACCAATGAGCCGTACTTGCCCTTCACTCATTCCGATGACTGGTCAGGCGATATGAAAAAAAAAAAAAGGAACATCAGGAATAATAACTAGCATCACCTCACTGTTTGTCCAGCAGTGACTAAATGATTGAGTCTAGTTCGGGTTGCAGGTACTGTGCTAAATTGCCAATTAATAATAATGGTCACAGCTGCAATTTCTGGTCCAGTCGCCTGTTCCAGTTCCAGACTTTTCAGCGTTCCATTTCCAGTTTCCGTTGCAGGGTTTGCAGCTGCGGGTGCAATGGATGAATCCTGCAGCTGAGGTTTCCTGCTCTAGCTCTAGGCTCCCCTCAGAAGCACCTTTTTCAATGACGAGTATTCATTCGGCTCTTGAACGTCTAGCAGCCTTGCAATGGCGGTCCAGCTGTTGCATAGCTTTTGCATAAAATAGTTGCATGCAGTTCCTATCTCAGTTGCAGTAGCTGTGCCTGCGTGCACTTCCGGTCGCGGTTCAAGTTGCAGCTCACAGTTTCAGTGCCAGCTTCCCATACGAACTGCAGTTTCTGTGGCAATTGCAACCGCATGGCTTGACTAAGGTTACAGTCCCAGTTGTTGCAGCTCCAGTCCCAGTCGTTGCACTTACACACTTCCAACTGCAGTTGTATTCACAGTTCTAGCTGCGATTACAGCTGCACATTTCAGCTCCAGTTGCAGTTCCGTTTGCAGCTCCAGAAGCTGTCACATTTGCAGTTGTGGGTTGCAATTGCGGGTGAAGTTTGTGAAGCCACGTTCACTTTGGCAGTTCCAGTTCTGCTCACAGCTCGGCTTGCAGTCTCAGTTGCAGTCCCAGTAGCAGTTCCAGTAGCAGTTCCAGTTCTGCTCACAGCTTGGCTTGCAGCTTGGCTTGCAGTTTCAGTAGCAGTTTCAGTAGCAGTTTCAGTGTGCAGTCCCAATAGCAGTTTCAGTTTGCAGTCTCAGTTGCAGTTTCAGTTTGCAGTCTCAGTTGCAGTTTCAGTTTGCAGTTCCAGTTTGTGACTATGGGTGCAGTTTGTGAAGCCACATTCACTTTCGCAGTCCCATTTCTTCTCACAGCTTGGCTTGCAGTCTCAGTTGCAGTCCCAGTAGGAGTTCCAGCTCGCAGTTCCAGTTCTGCTCACAGCTTGGCTTGCAATTTCAGTAGCAGTTTCAGTTTGCAGCCTCAGTTGCAGTCCCAGTAGCAATTTCAGTTTGCAGTTCCAGTTTGCAATTGTGTGTGCAGTTTGTGAAGCCACATTCACTTTTGCAGTCCCAGTTCTGCTCACAGCTTGACTTGCACTATCAATTGCAGTCCCAGTAGCAGTTCCTCTATCATTTCAGTATGCAGTTCCAGTTCCAATTCTCAGTCTGCAGGTTTTTCTGCAGCTCCACTCCCACTTCCAATTTCAGTTACTGTGGCAGTTCTGTTCTGGACAGCTGCATGCATGCTTGCAGGCCATTGCAGGGAAGGAGGGGGCTTTGGCACCCCACTGCTTAGATTTTCTGGATAGCAAACACGCTTATGTACAGCTGTACGCTTTGCCTCATCTGCACAGATGCAACTGCCAGAATGTACCTGGAAATATACACAACCTGGTCGAGATCATTCTCCTGGCCATCTGCACATCCAGGTACAGTCTGACAGAGGCATCTATGCAAAGAAGGTGGATAGTAGAGGCACACACACATTTTCTCAGACGGTGGACTCGACATTTGTCAGTGGTCAGTTACAGGTGTGCAATAGTTGACAGCCAGATGTGTACAGCATCCCCCTTCCTTTATTTCCTTTTACGAGAGGGGTAGCCCTTAGCCGCCATGAGGTAGTGGACTCACGACCTATTTATCAACCGTTAACATGTGCGTGCCACTCAAGGACATAGGTCCTAATATTATTGTATCCAGTGTTGTCAGGCGAAAATCCCTGGGGGACGAGCCGGGGCGGGCGTTTGACCCCCGGACCCCCGGCACGGGGATCCCTGACCCCCGCCCTCGCCCCTGCCCCAACCCC